TCAAGAAGAATTTATACATTTTCAACAAGACAGTGCACCACCCCATTATGCCCAGCAGGTTCACAATGTTTTGAATAATCATTTTGAAATCACCAGATTTAACACCACTGGACTACTTTTTGTCGGTGTATTTGAAGTCCGAAGTTTATGCTACACAGACAGCCAATTTGGATGAATTACTTCGTAGAATCATTGATGAATGCCGAGCTATAACTCCTGATATGTTGAATAATGTAAGAGCAAAATCCAAACAAAATCTTTATTGTTGCATGGAGCAAAATGGCGCACATTTTGAACATTTACTTTGATTTTCATATGTGAGTTACCCTTATTAGGTGTTACTTTTTTGTGTGTGCTTTAAAAATAATTATTGGGATTTATTAACAGTTTTTTAAACTTTTCTGTGTCAGCATTTAAGGAAATCAGCAGGTTGTATTCGTTGTGTAGGTGAGTTTTTAGTATGATTCACTTTCTTATCAGGAGCATAAAATATCCACGACGAAAGGCAACCTTCATAAGGAGGTGCCACTCAATTTACCTAAAATGTTAGGGTGGTAACCAACCCCATCCCCCGGAGAAATCTCCTCGTAATAAACAAATAATTCGACATCAAATGGACACGTATTAGCAGGTTGTCATAAAAAGCAAAAATTTATTTTTTTTATGAGAGTTCTGAACGTAACTTGCACCTTAAAAACAATTTGATTTATTTTAAAAAGAGTTGAACTCAATGCAAATACCTTTAAAACTTCAAATTATCTCGAAAACTAATCGTCACAAAAATTTTCTGTTGACAGAGTAGTAAAGGTATTCGAAAGACCTCTAAAACAAGGTGCCACTCGACCTACTTTCCCTATCTAAATAAGGGTCGTCGGACGCACCCCTCCGAGGGGGTGCGTACTACAAAAAATCTGATTAGTCTGAAAGGTGTCCCCCTTCAATTAGAAATCGACGTGTCCGAGCTTTTTTAAAAAATCTTACTTTTCATATTCAAAAACGGCTCTGTTAAGTTTTCGTCCTTACACACTGTATATTAAAGTGAAGAAAACCGATGTAGCAAACTATAGATCAATCTCACTCATAACTAGTCTTGTTCAAGTTTTCGAGAAGGTTATTCAAAAGAGATTGAATATGTTTCTTGAAAAACACCAGTTGTTGTCAGAATCACAACACGGCTTCAGAGGGAATATGTCCACCCAAGACCCGATAAAAAAACTATCCCAGCAAATTTATTCATGTTTGGATAAATCGTAACCTTCCATTGCTGTTTTCATAGACCTTAGGTAAGCTTTCGACACCGTCGGCCACTCTAACTTACTGAATCTTCTGGACGATATGGGAATTAGAGGTATAGCGAATACTCTTTTCAGAAGTTATCTTTACAACAGAGAGCAAAGGGTTAAAGTGAGCTATCATATAAGTGGAAAGGAAATTATTACATGTGGTGTGCGGGACGGTGTTAGGACCAATCCTATTCAATATTTACTTGAACAACTTTTTCCAACAAGACATTAACTCCAACATTCTGAGTTTCGCTGATGATACTGTGCTGTTTTACAAAGACGACAACGGGTTTAATTCGAAACAGAAATTAGAACATGACCTTCATCAAATCAAATTGTGGTTCGACCACATGCTCTTATCTATTGATTTTGAGAAAACCTATTACGTACCATTCAGTAGTAATGACAACTCTCTACCAGAATATGATATCAAAATCTCCAATACAGGACAGACAGAAATCTCAGATGGAACCAGCACATAGATCACATAGTTGAAAAATTAGGTTGCATACTTCACAAATTCAAACGGATAGCAAACATATCCAATCAAAAAAAAAATCATGTTATACAGGGTGTTCCTTAAACACATGCTAATATTTGAGGAGGTGATTCTTAGACCCATTTTAAGGAAAAAACGTCCTATGGACGTATGTCCTAAACGCCTTAACTTTTGAGATACAGGGTGGCAAAGTTTTCAGAAATAATCAGTTTTTTAATAATAACTGGAATAATTTTGTAGACATCTTTGGCATATTTGGTACATATGTTCCATGCCTCAAGGCGCATTTTCTGTTGTACAATTTTCTTAATCTTCTCTGCCAGTGGCGTACGTACGAGTTTTGAAATGTATATTTTTGGCGAAAAAAATACTACGCCACTGCTTTATCTTGAATTAAAAATTATTTTTAAAATCTCCATACATTTTTGAGCACATTTGATCTGCTATGATTTCTTTGTCCGACGCATGGTTTTCGCTCAAAAAATTAAAAATCGCTTTACTTAAGGATAAAAAAACTTAAATGAATAAATCTGGTAAAACAGCTTGATTTTGAAAAAAACAAATACAATATAACATTACCTACAGATAATTTATAAATATGTTAATTACTGGCATTTTATCCCAAAATTTAATTGGATAAATGATCAATTCTGGTAAAACAAGTAGATTTTGAAAAAACAATTACAATATAACATTACCTACTTCTAGGTAAACAGGTAATTTATAAATATGGTAATTCCTGGCATTGTATGCTAAAACTCGATTAGATAAATGATTAATTCTGGTAAAACAGGTAGGTTTTGGAAAAACAATTACAATACAATATTACTTCTAGGAAAACAAGTAAATTATGAATATGTTAATTACTGGCATTTTATGTTAAAACTTAATTAGATGAATGATTAATTCTGGCAAAAAAGGTAGTTTTTGAAAAACCAATTACCATACAATATTACATCTAAGAAAACAGGCAATTTATAAATATGTTGATTAATGGCATTCTATGCAGAAACTTAATTAGATAAATGATATTTTGAATTGTTCAGTGATGAATTCTTCAGTCAAAACCCTTGGGTTAAATGGGTTGAAAAATATTGGTAACACCTGTTTCGTGAACAGCGTAATCCAATGTTTGTCAAATACGAGATGGTTATTGGAATATTTTAAAAAAGATGAATTCAATACTAGTAGTCAATACTAGTATTTCTAGTATGGAAGGTGCTTTAATCAAAGCTTTTGCAGAAGTCATCAAGGAGTTGTGGTCAGAAGATTCATTTGATAGAGTAATAAATACAGCCACCTTAAAAAATCAGATTCAAAGTTTTGCTTCTTGATTCATGAGTAACTCCCATCAAGACGCCCAGGAGTTTCTTTGTTATCTTCTAGAAGGTTTACATGAAGACGTTAATATAATTAATGGGAAACCTAAACCAATTTTAACGGAGATTAACGAAAAATTGAGCGACAGCGGAAATGCACAAGAGTCATGGCTCACATATTTGCGGATGCATAACTCTAAGATTGTAGATAATTTCATTGGTCAATTGAAATCTACGATGAAATGCACACACTGTGGACACTCATCAGTAACCTTCAAGCCTTTCTGGGATTTGTCTCTCTCCATTCCACAAAGAACCGACCAATTGAGTTTGTGGCAATGCTTGGATTCGTTTGCAAGAGAAGAAACATTGGATGGAAATGAAAAACCGACGTGTTCGAAATGCAAGCAAAGGAGAAAATGCACAAAGTCCCCATCAATCCACAAGTTTCCCCATATTTTAGTAATTCATTTAAAAAGATTTTTCTCCAACGGCAACGGAAAGATTTAGAGGCAAATTGAATGATGTTATCGAATTTCCTCTAGAAGGATTGGATATGGACAATTTTGCAGCAGAAAATGTGGATACTTGTTGTTATAATCAATATGTACTTTTAAATCACAGTGGAACTACTCACAGAGGGCATTATACAGCATACTGCAGACACCCGTATACTGGCGCGTGTCACAAATACAACGATTCACACGTGTCACCAATTTCACCAAAATCGCTTGTTAGTGGAGAAGCATACGTCCTCTTTTATGATAAGGATGGTAAAAAATCTGCACCTTTGAGATAATTGAGTTTTTTGTGCAATTATTATATATTTTTTGTTAAGTTCGAACAAAATATATATATTTCTACTCATAAAAAAAAGATTAATTCTGGCAAAATAGGTAGATTTTGAAAAAACAATTACAATTATAACATTACTTCTTGGAAAACAGGTAATTTATAAATATGTTATAATGACATTTTACGAGAACAAATTGAACAACTAACGTTATTGAACTTGATTTCATGAAACGACAATTTCGTTCTAGTAAGGAAAAAGTGTTTGCGAAAGATTTATCTCGTGTTGAGACGGGGTTGAAAAGGAATGAATTATGATGAAAAAAAATCAGAATAAAAGTAAAAGACATCCTTGTGAGGACCTTTTATAGTGTGGACGAATTCTACCAAGGCTCTATCGAGTAATTGGCATGTAGCTTTTTGTAAACAAGTTATTGAAATCAACATGAAATGGTTATCAATGCTCAGTACGTAATATAAACATTTATTCATATATTCATGTACTAATTTTTGTATCTATTCAGCTGGGCTTCATATCCTTCTGTCCAATACGCTGCTCTTGTGCTCTAAGCATTATTTTATAGCTTGTATTTGTTAATTTAATATCCCATATACACGTTTTACTTTACTAGACTTTGCCAATAAGATATTAAAATCATTGGTAATGAAGCATATTTTGATTTGATTTGATAAGTTTGTTGATTTTGTAAGTTTACTCAAGATGCGACAAACCTTATTCAGAGGTTCATGCAACTCATTATTAGGACCTTTTCCGTTTTTGGTGTAAGTTAAAAAAATGTTTAAAATGTTTTTTCTGTTAACCAGCTATGTAAGTGGTTGATGGATGTATTACTAATTCATTATTGTTGAATAACTCAAACACAAACATATGCAAATGGTCGAATAGGATTTTATGCAACTAAAACTAGGATGAAATTTAACATTGCAGTCTGTAACTGCAGACTATGGTTGTTATTCAACCTTCTATCTTGCACGTTGATTTAAAAAAATGGGGATTTTTGGAAATCAATAGACCAACTCCAACTTTGTTTTCATCGTCACCTTTAAATGAACCATATTCTTAAAATACAAACTAATAACACCTCACTATCTGCTTCTTTCCTTAGGAATCTCCAGTCGAGCGCTGAACTCCCACGATGTTGCAGCCCCCCTTTCACCGCAATGCCAAGAAGTCTCCTGCTACATCGACTACAACATATCGATGCCGGCCCAGAACTTATGGAGAGTTGAAATAACGAACAGAGATCAACAGGGCGACAACTGGCATACAATCCAGTCGCTGGTGAGGTTGATACACGTTGATACTGATACAGCTTTGAAGTTCACGGGGCGACAGTTGCCCGACTGGGGATACCACCAGCACGAAGTGGCAGCTGATAGGATTATCGTCCAGGATGATACTGTATGGAATGTGGAGGAGCATCGATACACAAAATGTAAGTGTTGTTTTCTAAGGATTGATAATACGTTTTGGTTGTATTTGAAAAATGTAATTTTTAGTCAATAATTAGGCTAGAACTACATGTCTTGGTGTCGAAAAAATAAATGAATATTGGGACACACCTCACACAAACTATCTGAATCTTCCAAAGTATCTAACTATATAATTCCTTTATGAAACAATTATGAGATATATCCTGTGAGACATGGTAAATTTTCTTCATGATGGTTGTTTCATTAAACGTGCTTGAGGAATATTCCATGTCATAAAGGATTATAAATTATAAAT